GGTTGAATTTGTAGTGTAAATAATAGTACAGATAATTTTGAAGAAGAAACTGGTAACTAAGGCTGAATGTTTCGAACATGTAACATGGTGTAATTTGAGGTGGCGGAGTTGTTCACATTATCTTTGTGTTATCATTAAGTGCATAGGGTGAATCAAAATTGATGTTCAGATATTAAATCTAAATGTTGATTCTGTTTTTGGGTTGCATCATGCGGTTATGTGTGATGTTGCTGATGTTATGAAGGTACATGCTGCTTCTGCCTTCAGGCTTGAAATTTGTGGGTTGGTTAGTTGTTACATGTATACAGCGTTGTGTTTGAACAGGAACAAAGGGAAGGGGGTAGGGTGCCTCATCTAGACAAGGCATTAATCCCCACTGCCTTCCCCTTTGCCCCATTTCAGTTCAAATACAGTGCTATATATATATATACACACACACACACACACACACAATAGCTAACCAACCTGGACACTTTAACCCTGAAGATGGAGGCATAATATAACTCTTAAACATCAATACCTTTGCTTACAAGCCAGAAGGTCGCGGGTTCAAGTCCTGATGAGGTCATTGGATTTTATTCAATTGACCTAATCCTTCCGGCCGCACTAGGCCCTGGGGTCAACTCAGCCTCTAACAGAAATGAGTACCAGGAATTAATTAAATAATTTTCCTGTGGAGTGAAGCGCGGCCGATGCGTAAGGCTGACAACCTTACCGCCATCTTTGAACCGATTGTCAAGGTAATGTGGGACCCTTAACGTCTCACAACCCTATGGGCCTTCACGGCCTGTTACAGGGATAGCTTTACTTTTTTACTTTTACAACCACACATAATAACACAAGGATAGATGAACAAAAACTATGAAAGCCTGAAATCAGTAATAAATGTTAATAGAAATATACTTACACATATAAAAGTGTCACATAAAAACTGACAGTCATTTTGTTACTTACTGCCCCTTGACACTGGAACCTGTGTTTGTAGTAGCTTGCTGTGACCTTTGGTCACAGACTTACATTCCTCTTTGTTCTTTTCTGTGGAATGTTCATGTAATGTAACTTATTCCAGTTCTTCTTAAACTGGATCTGAAAGACAACCAGATAAGCTTCTTACCTTCATTAGGAGATCTGAGGAAGTTGGAAATGTTGTTCCTTCAGCACAACCACCTAGTCGCACTTCCAGATGTGACAGGTTGTATGGCACTCAAGGAACTCCATCTAGCTGACAACATTATTAAGGTGTGGGTTACCTCCATACTGCTCTGTTTTATCTTTGGTGTTGTCCTTTATCTAATGTAAATTTGCATGCATACACATGCAAAAGTGTTTGGCTTCATTTTGTTTTGTTCATACAGTATTCCAGTAATGACAAACAGTGACTTTTCCTGAGAGAAAGGCTTCCAGCATGTTTTGCCATAGCAAACATTTTCCTTTCCTGCAGATAGAACAGGTGTGTGGTTGTATATATATAGCTTATCTAGAAAGTAAAGACCGTTTGGTGATTAAAAAAAGATAACATTAAAAAATTGTATTTTACATCATTAGTACAGATCTTAAATCATTTTTATACATAATTCCCATGAAGATTCAGGTATTTGTCATATCATGTTACAAGTTTCTATGCCTGCATCATAGAAATTGCTGCCAGTCAATTGAACCAGTCTGTAACCATCTTCACTTGTTCGTTGCTATCCATGCGCGTGCCATTAAAAAACTGCTCCATGTGTGTGAACAAGTGAAAATCAGTTGGAACTAAGTCCAGACTGTGGAGAGGATGGAAATAAAATGGTGCAATTCATTCACCCATGCAAATGTTATTCACAAACGGTCATTACATCCCTCGTATTATTGTGTGTATGAAAGAGAGAGGTAGTATATATGTGTGCGTGCGTGTGTGCGTGCGTGCGTATACTGCATTTCTTCTTTTTGTACTGCTGATATTTCTGAATAGTGGCAAACAGCTATTCTTCTCAGTATGTAGTATCCAATTGATGGTCTATAAAATGTATTTGGCATAACTTCATGGTGCAGGATGTTCTTGAATAGGTAGTAGCTAGTCAGTCGCCAGGAAGAAAATCTGTGCTCGTATGGGACAGGGAGTTTTATCTCTGTGTTTGCCAATGCCTGCTACTAGACCCCTATCACGGGAAAGTTCAATTCAATCCATTCCTTCACACTGTGTGTAGCAGGCAAAATTATGCTTTTGTGTGTTTTTAATCTTCACGTTTTCGGATAGCATGAAGACAGAAATTCTGAGGTGAATGGTAGCAAGTATTCCTCAGATTTAATCTACTCTAGATATCTTTGTTAATATAGTTTTTATTGTTATTCCCAGATATTCAAACTTGGCCACATTTTCGAAGGATTTATTAGCTGTCTACATTGTGATTTTCCTCTGCATTCTGGTTGAGCATATGCTTAATTTTATGTGTTCACTTCGAGACCAGTTTTCATAGTAGCATGCAGTACAGTTTGCCAGATAAATTAATACATCAATATAAATCAGAAAAACATTTTATCTAACAGCAAAACTGATTGTCACTGCTTGGGTGCAACTAAATACAATACATTTTTTATTATTATTTCGTTACAACTATATTTGGTATGAGTAAATGTATATTGGTTGTCAGGATAGTATGACGAAAGGATGAAACTATACCACTGGATTCAAAAGTAAGGTTGAGATAGGCTAAGGAACACTTCCTGTTGAGTGTTACAGGGGACTGTTTCACTTGGGTGTGAAATGACGAGGATGTGAAGCCGACCACTCAGCTTCTGTCTAGTGCCATGGTTAAGAATGCATATAGATATACCTCCACTCCCCCATACATTCATGCCAAAATTTGCATGCATCAGCAAAGAGAATGCTTCTTTACCAATACCTGGCTGTGTATCCTTCATAGGGTGCAGTTCTATCACAGTTTTATTGCGTTTCTTGAAAGAGTTAAATTTATATCTTGATTATTTCTTGGCAGGAACTTGATGTTGAGTTGTTAGAAGGTTTGTCACGTTTGCGAGTGTTAAACCTTTGTAATAATGAAGTTACATCTCTGCCAGAAGAGATCTCAGGACTGCAACTACTTGTACGATTGGACCTTACCAATAACAGTCTAGTCACGTAAGTTTATAGTTTATGAAGTGGACAGTGACTGTAATTCTCATGCAGTGACACTTTTATTTTTACAAGTACATCACTACTGTTAGTTGGCAAATTGCACGCTTAGTTGAAAAGTTCACAAAACAGAATGATTTTATGGATAAATAATGGTATAGATATAGTAAAGAAATCTGAGAATATATTGGAATGATGCAGATTGGTAGTTCTTAACCAGTTTCTATAAATGTACTGCATTTTTTTGTGTGAGACTTAGAATGTGATCTTAGAGAAATAGGATGGGGTGGTATGGACTGGGTTTATATGGTGGAGGCTATGATCAGTGGAGGGCTATTGTGAACATAGTAATAAACCTTTGTTTTCCATAAAATGTTGGAAAATTCTTGAGTGAGTAGCTGAGAGACTGGTTTCTCAAGAAGGAATCAGCTCCATGCAATTAGATAAAATTAAAATGCTTTGTTCAGTGTCTTATTAGGTCAGTATTCTGGAAGAGTTTACTTTTATAATGAGAATTTTCTTCAGGAGTGCAACCTTGAATGATGTGACTCCATGGAGTGAACTTTACTGAACTGCATGTTGTCACATCGTAGAAGGTGCACATATAATTCTTAATAGATGCTGTTGTGAGAATCTCAAATCTCACGGATAATCTTCTGGTTTTTCTGTGTCCAGATTACCTGATACTTTGTGCTATCTGCCACACCTACAATCTCTACATTTGGAAGGAAATCCTCTTCATTCTATTCGGAGAGATATTATTCAGTGTGGAACTACTAGACTTCTGAAATTTCTCCGTGAGCGTTTGAAGGATGAAGGAAATGCTAATATTGGTTCTTACACCTTAATTGCAGAAAAAGATGTGAAGTTCCCTGACAGGTATTGTAGAATAAAGCCTCAGATGATGAATTTGTGTGAATCTAAGAATTGTGTTGCATGCATTTTGAGTTTTCATTCATAGAATTTGCATGTTCTCTAGATGACAGAATTTTAGGATGTAAATGTACTTTCCTGAGCATCTGATTTTGGTAACTGGAATTAGAAGCCAAAACAAAAATTTACAACAAAATTCTTCGTAATTGTAACACAATATCACACGCTGTATGATAGTTTTTATAATAATATTATTTCCATTTTTTAAGAATGATGACTAGTAAAACAAGCAGTTATATTATTCAAGTTTTTGTTTTAATCAGATATCTGCTTTGGGTGATTAAAAGGATTTACTCTGAGCCAGTCTTTGCTATTTCTTGTCAACTTGAAATGTCAGCATTTAAATTCAAGTATGGTTGAAATCTTGAAAAAATTTTAAGTGGTGCCTGTGGTATTAGTGCAGTGTACAGTTCAATATATTGTGATAATGTCACTTGAACTTGAAACTTGCCCTGTGACACAATGTGCAATATGCTTTTTGTAAATAAGACTTCCAGTGAAAGATGTGTAGTTTTTTTTTCAGAATGACTTTTTGCATTTATTTGTGTTATACCTCAACAGCATAATTAGTTCTCCTTTACTGTGACACAATTATTATCATTGTTTAGTTTGCAGTTTTCCATCCCCTTCTCCACTTCCCATTAGACCGAACATTGGATTCATTTCCATCTGAAAACTGGTGTTACCCAACTTAGAATCAGTAATTCATGTACTTAATGTTGTATGTGCTACCATCTTCTTTCTCAGTAAATGCATAGACAGAATGGCAGCCATTATATTAGAACAAGTCACCAGGGAAGTCAGTGTGTTTGTCTCAGAATATGTTTTAATTATTTGAGCATCATTCTCATATTTGTCTTTATTATTTTATGTTCATTTTGACTGTTGTTGCTGTAGCCTTCAGTACACATGTTGTCTGTCTCTGTCCATTGGTTAATGTTCACAATATGGACATTCATACCCTGAAGTTGGAGGCAGCAAATTCCACCAAAATGTTGGTAACCATGTGTGAATCTGGATGGTGTCACATCCAGTAGACCACAGTCTTAATTTTTACTGCTATGAAACCCTCAGATCTCTCATATATACAGTTTTGCAACAAACTAAATTCCACATGGTGTGTCTAGTTGTCAGATTGAATACTGATTTAACATTTATTCTTTTTCATCATGTCCAGTTAACAGATGAGAGTACCTCAAGAAGGTGTATGGGTGCTCAGGATGGTCACTTATGGTGTAATCTCACACCAAATAATTTAAAATGTGTGTACACTGCTTTTTTCTCTTCTCAAGAATTGAAGCAAACAATTTTCATTTCTGATGCAGTGGTGAAATTATGAAGTGCAGGTTTCAGGTTTGTGATAGGGCATGTTCATCTCCTATGTTGTGGAATTAAAATGTCATACCTGTAACCTTTGTATGTTATTTTTCTGGTTCAGATATATGATGAGGTCTGGTCGATCTTTAAGTCTAGCTATGCAGGATCTTACAGAGATTCCAGACTCAGTTTTTCAAGAAGCTCTGGAGGCTGAAGTCACTACTGTCGACTTTTCCAAGAACAAGTTGAAAGAAGTACCTAGTGGGTAAGTGGGTCTTTTTTTCTTCTCATAATTCTGAAATGTTTTCATAAGGTACAAGTTCTATATATTGTGGTCTTGTACCAATGATCGATCTTTGAATGCAGTGAATAAACAAAAAATGACAAATGACAAATGACAAATGTTGCTCGCATGTTCAAGAACAAAATGAGTTTTTATGGATTTAGAATTGGAGCCTTAACATTATGTGCCATGTCATTTTATCACTTGTAAAGACCCATAATTTGAATTTTTAAACATGTTATGTTTACATATTTTTTTCTGAACAGCGACTGAAGGATGAAGTTGATTCCAGATGTATTGCAGCTTCAACTTATTCATATATTTTATCGATAGGTATCAGTAGTTCATGATGGTAAAAAAAGTTACCGTGTTTTGTATGTGTTTTGTAAGAAGTAATTGTTAAGTTACTGCCATGGCAAGTCATAAAAGTACAGCTGTGTCCCACAAAAGAATGCCATTGACAAATGTCTGAACCTTTTACATGTCAGACTTCAATTCTTATATATTTTTAAAACATATTTAAAATTGAAAAGTACCAAATGACTTGGATGAAACATATGCAGACTGAAGACAAAATATAAACTTTGGAAGGAAGAGATCCAGGATTCCTGAAGAAGAAATGGAGAGGCCAGCCTGAAGGGTGTAGGAACAGACAGTGCAGCTACACCTGCATAGTTCATAATGGTGATGATGAGTATGTTTAGTAATAACTTTCACCCTACACTTCTTGTTTTAGAAAGAAAATTAGGTTTTTGGTATCATAATGTCCATGTGTCCAGTCTAGAAAACCGAAATTAACAGCTGTGGGGATCTGTTGCACTGACCATGCGACACCCTCTACCCGCTAAAGTTGGCACTAACTTCGTCGACAAGCAGTGGTCTCTCAGTCAGTATAGTTTGCTTACAGACTAAAGCCACGGAGTTTAGTTTTAATGTCCATGTGTTTGTCCCTTCTAAAAAGACTTTAAACCAGTCTAAAGATTTTCATGAAACATCATGCTGTTACCTGCTACTCCACCTTTCTACTTTTGAATTCAGTGTTACCAGTACTACCAACATAGTGATAGTGTGAATTTGCAAAGCTGGGTCAGTACTAATTCCTCTTGATGTAGTCCTGAAATCTTGTGTGGCAACTGCCAGAAAGATGATAAATGTTTGTTAAGGGTGTGTTTAATGGTGCCTACCATACCAAAACCTGTTTTGCTGGAAAAATGCAGTGTCACCACAAAATGGTATTTATGTTATAAATTTAAGAATATTTGTATTGTGTTTTTTTTTAGAATGCATGTGTTTATAAGGAAAGTGTAAAATTGAGAAAATGAAGGTAATAGTAATATAGTACTTTTATTTCCAAGCAAAAGAGGTCTCATTTTCACAAGGTTTCTGTACTCAGTATATAAATAGATATAAATGCATTCTGTAGATTGTAGTAAGCAATGTGTGTGTGGAGTACAGTATAGTCAGGGTACAGTATATCACATTTGGAAAATACCTGAAAATAAAGTACAATTATAAAAGCATACCCCCAGGACAAGTGGCACTACAAAGACCTGATCATATAAATTACATTAATAATAAGTAATTGCAATTGTACAGTGTTATATGTATATAAAATGTAACATTGCTCTCAGATCATTTCTCTGACCGAATTAATGTACCAAATAGTTAACTTTACATACAAATTCCACACATTTAGTTCACTTTTGGGATGTCCATGTTCACTGAGACGACTACTTGAAACTACAACAACAAATGTTCGTTGCATTAGGAACGCATATTGCAGACGTGTGATGAGCGTGTCTGAAGAAAACTGGTGGAGACTCCTTTTGTAGCAGTTAACCCAGTCTAGTGATGATGGTGCTGTGTGGAGGCCCCTAAAAGGGCCATTTTGTCTAGCTGAGTCTTGTAGCAAGCTAGCAAGCATGGCGTGCTCCCTTGCGTCAACCCATGATTGCAAGTCATCTGGATAACAGCAAGCTGCAGTGAGTCTGGCTGGCTGGTAGAGTCAGCTGCCTACGGTGCGTGTGCTGGTGGAGTTGGTGTGGTGCAGCTGTGGTGCTCCCTTGATGGCAGTGTAACAGCGACTGATGCAAGACTGATGTTAGCCAGTTGGAGACCCACATTTTTATACCATTACTGCTGGGCGGCGTGTGGACCATTTGGCACTGGAGCTGCAGTTGTGAGCGCTGATTGGATAGCACTTGTGTTGGTGTCCAGAGAGGTGGGCTGTAAGTGATGTATAAATATTGGCGCTGGAGCTGCAATTGGATAGTGCTAGTGTTGTGTCCAGAGAGCCGGACTGCAAGTGATTTATAAATAATGCCGCCTCCTTGTATGTTGTGGGTGTTGCCTGTTAGAATGCAGGAGGTTTGCGCACACACTTCACATATAAGAAGAAACACATATACACCTAAACACACATATATACATACAACAGTACATGAAATTTGCAGTCTATTAATCATCTTTCAGTAATATAAAGTCATCAGCATAGCAGAAGATAAGAATAAAAAGAAATTCTTACAATGAGAGATCAACACATAGTGGTGTATTGTGTTGCAGGTTGCAGAAACTGGCAAGTCACATCACTGAACTGAACCTTAGCTGTAATGCATTGTCTGTACTTCCCGCTGAGCTGGGACTGTGTCAGAACTTGCAGTACCTTGACTTGCAGAGGAATTCACTTGAAAGCTTACCCCAGTCACTTGAATGTTTGACAAAGCTCAGGGAACTTGTAATAGCTTTCAACAAGTAAGTAATTATTGTCTACCACTTCGGTTTATTGCAGTTGTGAACACAACCAGTATTTCATTTAGTTTCAGCTCAGTTCTGTCTCCTGCAGAGAAAGAATGTTTGTGAGCATCTTTATCAGTTTTAATAATTATACTAATATCATCAGCCTGAGAGTTTTGCTGTTTGCCTACTCTGTAGGTAAAAATGTTTAGGGTCATGTAATAACCTTGAAAGAAATTTCACAAAGTCTGCTCAGGGGCAATGATGACAGATCGTGATGACTGGAGCATGTAGTTTTACTGTATAGGTAGTCATTATAGGATCTAGCCTATGGGCGAGATGTCCAGGCCCTGTTAGAGACATATTTTTCTATCTTTTCCTGTGGCCTGATTATACAAGATGATTCTAGTGGTGCTGTTATTTGTGCCTCTTCTTTTGGGTTTGAATTCAGTTTGTATGTTGCATTTTATATCTCTGACATTACCAGAAATCTTAAATTGTAGTGTCCATTTTGTGCAATAGAAGGATCTACACAGCATATAGGAATTCACATGTATATTAACATATTATATACCTGCTTAATGGGAGCTGGGGTACTGCAGTTGGTATAATGACTGGCTATGGGCTGGATGACGGAGGGGTAGGAGTTCAGGTCCTGGTAGGGTCAAGAATTTTCTCTTCTCCAAATCCTCCAGACCAGCTCTGTGGTTCACCCAACCTCCTATCCAATGGGTACTGGGGTCTCTTTTGCCGGTAGTAAAGCAGCTGGGGCCTGAAGCTGGCCACTCACCTCCAGCTAGTGCTGAGGTCAAGAAAATGTGGATCTATATGTCTACTCCTCCATATGCCTTCATGATGTAATGCATAATTTATTGAGCACAGGGACAACTTTTACCTTTTTTTATACCTGCTTAATAAACTAAGATTGAAATATTTTATTGTATTGACTCAGATATGTAATTATCATCATTTGTTCTGTTTTTGTTAAATTACTAGTTATCTGATTTACAGATTTTTTGAACTACCTGATTGTGTGTACAAATTACCAGGGCTTGAAATTCTGATAGCTCGTGACAATCGTTTAACCACGATAGATGTGGCAGGGCTGTCTCAGCTACACAGGCTGGCCACATTGGATCTGACCAATAACAGCATTAGTCATGTGCCTCCAGCGTTGGGTAACATGACACAGCTAAGGTGAGTGCCATTGATTAAATCAGTCAGCGTGCTGTGTCTTTATGTAATTCAGGTATTATTTCTTTTATAAGAGGATGCTTGATGTCAGATGATGTAGGGAGAAAAACTCTGGCAAGGATCATGTTCTTAGAATTTACATACATTAAGTCATTTCATTTAGCCGATTTGCATCTAGCATGTTTTAATTGCTGTTCAGTAACTAAGGAATATTATAGGTTTTACAGTTAAACTGACTGCTAGTGTCTAGTAGACCGTGGTAGGTAGCACTTTCATTAATGCGGACTATATAAGAAAAAGATAAAAGATGTATGAAAGTAAAGGTCACTTACGTATATATATATATGTAAATGGAAGATCTGTTTACACATTACTGTCATCTTCATGATAAGATGGAGCTAGATGCACAGCTAGTCTTCCTTCTCTTATTTAATTTATATACTTGTACTGTACCAGGGTCGCCCCAAATATTGTATCGGTCTTTGGAAGTTATAAGGTTATTGTTTTTTAGGTCGTTGGAGTTGACTGGAAATAGTTTTCGGCAGCCTCGACATGCTATATTAACAAAAGGAACCCACAGTATCTTGTCTTATCTGCGTGACCGAATACCACAGGGCCAGCAGTAACTGGCTGCATTGTATGCATTTGTAAGTTGTGTTCTACAGCATAAAACTAATTTCCCTAAGAATATTTTATGGTTTACATTTTAAAATGTGGTTAAAGGTGCGGCAGAAAATGTTCTTGGACTGTAAAAAGTTTGTTGAAACTTGAAACAGTGAACAGTGTCTTATATATTGACTGGGGCCGTGCCATAGCTCAAGCAGTTAGTAGCTGGCTTCCCACCACGGTGACCCGGGTTCGATCCCGGGTCTGGTCAAGTGGGATTTGTGGTGGACAAAGTGGCGCTTGGGCCGATTTTCTCCAAGTACTTCGGTTTCCCCTGCCAATCTTCATTCCACCAATTGCTCTACAATCACCCTCACCTATCATCTGGGGCTTGTACGAGGCTCGTCCACAAAATAAGTTTCCCTGGGGCTGTTTACAGAAACAAAACACAATTTCATGGAAATATTTATTGCAACAGATACAGCAAGTGTTTAGCTATTTTTCAAATAATCGCCACCGGAATTGAGACATTTGTCATACCGTGGGACCAACTTTTGAATACCTGTGTCTTAGAAGTCTGCCGCCTGGGATTGGAACCACTGTGTGACAACCATCTCCGCCTGTCTGTCATTCTCAAAACGCTGATGCTCACCAGACAGGAATTTCTTGAGGTGTAGGAAAAGATGGAAATCACTGGGAGTGAGGTCCAGGGTCCGGGCTGTAGGGTGGATGATTAAACACCTCCCAGCTGAATTCCTGCAGGAGACTTGCTGTCTGTCAAGCCGTGTGTGGCCTAGCGTTATCGTGCAGGAAGACAATATTGGCACTAAGCATCCTGTGCCGCTTGTTCTGAATGGCCCGTCACAATTTCTGCAGTGTTTCACAGTAACTCTCAGCATTCACCGTCTCACCTCTGTCCCAGAATTCCGTGCACATCACTTTCCGCGCCGACATCTGCTTGAATTTCGTCTTACAGGGAGATCCACTGTGATGCCAATGCATTGACTGCTGCTTGGTTCCTGGGGTAATGTGTGCAATCCACGTTTCATCACCTGTGATGATCCGTTCCAGAAACTCGTCGCCATCATCATGGTACTGCTGCAGAAATATCAATGCTGTTTTCATGCACTTTGTTTTGTGTTCTGGTGTCAGTTGCTTCGGCACCCACCTGGTGCACAATTTCCTGAACAACAGATGCTCCGTGACAATTTTGTGCAACAAGGAGCAGGAAATTGAACATGACTGCTGAGTTCCATAATTGTGATGCGACGATTCTCCATAATGCCTTCCCGCACAAGCTCTACCAGGTCATCTGTAATGATGGATGGCCACTCACTGCGCTTCTCATCATGCACACTTTGTCGACCTGCTGAAAATTGTCTGCACCAGTGACGCACCATCTGTTTGCTCATGACGTTAGGATCATAGACCCGGGNCTGTATCTGTCACATCTTATATTTTTAAACTTTCTGAGCTAAAAAAGGATAGGAAGCTAGTGACATAATGTTTGAATATACTAATTCCCATCTTTTAGTATTGATGACTTATTTAAAGTTTTAGTGTTGTGATAATTAATTAATTAGTTCAACGGAATCTGAGTCGTAAGTTTTACAGCAATAATTGGCGCTGAACAAACTANCACTGACCGCACTTCACAGTCGGCGGGAGCTGGAATAAGAGCCTCCGTCTTCAACAGCTGCAACAATGCTACTGTGGGAATGCGGGAAGTTCTTTTAGTGCATGCGCCATGCTACGTCATTGCTCCATCACGTATGTGCAGTCGCTTTGNAAATTAATTTCAATTTTTTAACAGGCTTTTAGGATGAAGATTTTCCTTCAAAAGGCAATGTTTACACAGCAGTGAAGTAATCTGGTCTGTTACACTTATATACTGTATCCTGCGGCTAACTTTACAGCCTCCTTTGCAGCACCAAACCAACTAGAATGGAATTAGTCATTCAGAAACATTAAAATTGTTTTGCAGGTGAGAACTTTCTCATGATTTATTACTTTTAAAGTAAAATTATTCTGAATAAGTCTTTAAAGCAGACACTGAAAGAGGTGTTGTGCAAGATTTCAACACACATTAGCAAATGTAACATTCTGTGTTACTAGTTGATGTTCATACCCTGTTAACTTTCAATTAACAGCACAAAATTAAATTTCTGAGGCGTCTGAAGTGTGTAGATTGTTCCTGTGAACTTTATGTTTTAACTCATTGCTAACTACCTTTGTCTGTGAGGCATGGTCAGTTATTTAGTAGTTCTGTGTATTCCACTTTTTGTTAAATGAGTTGTATTGTTCCACGGAGCTGAAATATTTGTTATGGTTGTCATATGTATGTATATATATATATATATTTAATGCGTAAAAGTCTTTTAAACCCCATTTTAGATTGAAATAATGTTTTTCATCAGTGTTTATTTGTTATGTAGGTGTGTATTGTTATAAGTATTTTACTTATGTAAGTCTTTCTCTACAGTAATATTGTACATTTTTATTGTTCCGCATTTTGCCCCTCAGAATCTGTTATAGGAATTGGGTATGAATTCTGTATTAAAAAATGTAGTTCCTTGTAAACTGCTTCTTCAGTAGTACAAATGCTGTTAAAAATGACTTTGTTATGATAATTTTCCCATGTGGTCTTTATTAGGGGAGCGTTTTAGAAGAAATTCAAAACATTTTGAATTATCTGTGCCAGTTTGACTCGCCCTACTGCTACAAAGTAAATTGTGTCAGTTATTGCTTTGTGGTATATCGTTTAGTTAATGACATTTTTTTTTCCTAGAATTACACCATTTAGGAAATGCTTGGCCACAAATGAAGCACTGGGTTGTTGTTTTTTATTTCTTTCTTGTTATGTCCTGTGATGAAAGTATTGTTTGTTATGGGTCGTTTTAGTTATTACCCTTTCTGTTTAGTCTATGGTTGTTAAAAAATTCTAAAATTTGTATTGTTTCTTCGGGTGAATCCATGTAAAATGAAGCATAAACTTCAAAGTGTAATATGGATTTTGTGTCATTATGTGAAGGTTATGTTACTTTTCTGCACTTAATTTAATTGTTGTTATATTTGATTCTTGTTTTTATTTTGAAAATGTGTTGGTGTTTGTAATTCGTTATCATTTTGGTTTATGTGAAATCATATGTGAGACAGCCTTTAAAATTGCATTTGATTTAATCTTTAAAGGGCTATATTAATTTCATAAATTGACATTAAGGCTGAAGACTTACAAGTCTTCATTGAATTATTTTTCATTCATGGTGTCGTCTGTTGGAAATACTGTATTCCTTTTCATGATTCAGTCAGCTTATCATTGACTTTTAAACTGAGTCACTGGGTATTGTCTTATGTTCCATGATCCATGTGTATATCATTTCTTGGGTCTTAATACTATGTTAATAGGTAAAGATGTTGCAGCAAGTTATGGAGCTGGTATAGCTCAGTCATTATAGTGTATGGGATGGAAAGGTGGGGGGACTTTGGTTCAATTCCAGGCAGGAGCAGAGGCATTTCTCTTCTCTTCAGCCTCCAGACCAGCTCTGTGGCACACTCGGTCTTCTGTCCCAGCTGCTGGGGCATGAAGCTGATCACTTGCCTCCATCTAGTGCCAAGGTTAAAAGAATGAGTGGAGCTATACTTCCACTCTTTTATCATCTTATGGTTCCCAACATATTGCAGGTGCCCACATGTCACACTTTGCATGCTGATTGTGTTTATTAGCAACAGCATGTATGTGAGAAGGGTTGAAAAATTTCCTTCATATTATACTGCATTAAGCCTCAAGCAGTCATCTTTTTAGATGGAGGATAAGCTCTGAACTGGCTAAAAAAATAAAATTTAATAGGTATGAGTGTTATTTCTACGACATATAAAAGAAAAAATGTACTGTCACATAACAGGAGTAAACATCCTTATTTCTGGTTCATAATATTTGCTGTGGTGATCTTTTTTTTTTATCAGAATATGAAGTTGTGGTGTATAAAACATTATGTTCTGAACACGGTGTAGTGATAATGCTCAAGACTTGTACTTGGCCAAGGCATTGGTCAACTTGACTCAGGTTTTCATGCTTTTATAGTTGGTTGAGGCACTATGCTACAAGCTGGAAGGTAGCGGATTCAATTCCCAATGAGATCACTGGATTTTTCACTTGATCTAATCCTTTCAGCTGCACAGTGGCCCTGGTGTTACTCAGCCTCTAACAGATATGAGTAACAGGAATCTTCCTAGGGGTGAAGGGCGACAAGCATGTAAGGATGTCAACCTCACCACCATCTGTGAGCTGATTGCCTAGAAAATGTGGGAGCCTCGATATCTCACGGCCCTATGGGCCTCCATGCCCTGTTACACAGATAGCTTTACCTTTAGTATCTTAAGTAGGCCACAACTTCCTTCCAAATCATTTTCAATTCTTCATTTATAACTATCGTACTGTCTTTTGACACCATGTCGTAGTACTGACAGTAATGTTAAAGAACGACCTAAAAAGTCTTATAAAGGTTCATTGTTTCAGGGATAGTTTTCTTTCAGTATTTTATGAATACAACAAATTATTTGTTACATACAATTAAACTAGCTTGAAACAGAATCTGACACGACCTGAAATTTTTCTGTTACAGTGTTCATAGGTGATTAGCTGTTGTGGAAAACATGCAGTTTTGGGGTTGATATGCGGTAATAGTTCATAAATTTAGTTATTTGAAAGATTATTTTTAGAAGATCATATTCAGGGTTATCAGCATGTAATTGCCAGCAAAGGTACCTGTCACTTTTTATGGATATCTGTCTTTGTGTGGGAGAATCCCTTCCTCAAAATTTTAGTCATATGTATTGGTGGTGCTGTTAGATCATTTGTGTGTCCTATTTTTTCTTTATATGTTACATGATGTAGTCCATTTGTTTTGTGGACTATGCAAAATTGTTTTAACTTCCCAGAATGGTCCTGATGAAAAGTATATTGCTTCTAGAATGTGTGATATCTAAGAAAGGCTGGGGTTAGAGCAGTTTTGTTTATCGTCACATCTTCTGTGTTAATAAATGTCTTAAAATAGTCACATGCTAATTTGGAATCTTCTCATAGACCTTTTTCTGTTTTTAATTTTATATTTTCTCAGTCTTCATTTAGACTCGTATACATTTATCACTTTGTATTTCTGTAATAAGGCTAATTCATTCGTTCCCTTTATTTTCCATATATCCATACAGGTAACAAACCTAGGATGTGGGAATGGTCCCTTTGAAAATAGATATATCAAAATACATATATAAAATTATACGAGTCACATAATCAAAATCACTTATATTACTCGGTTAACATAAATAATATAAAGTAAAAAATTTGTTAGTATTTTAATTAATAAACATAATTTAAAAACAGCTTACTAGAAAACTTGAATTAATACAGTTTTTTTAAATTACCTATATTAACTGAATTAAATACATTACAAATTTATACACTTATGAGGCCACGCCATAGCTCAAGCAGTTAGTCGCTGACTTCCCACCACGGTAGCCCGGGTTCAAACCCGGCTCTGGTCAACTGGGATTTGTGGTGGACAAAGTGGCGCTGGGGTAGGTTTTCTCCAAGTACTTTCGTTTCCCCTACAGATCTTCATTCCACCAAATTCTCTATCATAATTACCCAGGGCAGGTACAGTAGGCCAGTCAGTGGCAACCGTGCCGAGTGGACCCAACTGGAATGCACCCCGCACTATAGAAATACTGAGAATACACAATTAGGACCAGTTATGTTGATACTGTAGTAAACTGTAGTTTACATTAACTTATCTTACATCTAATTTAGTTTATGTGTAAGGATAATCATGTCAGGTTGTCACAGAGTCATAAAGATTTTCATTTGGACCCTGCATTTCGTAAGCTTTAATCAGAACAATACTTTCTAGGTATTGAACTTGTCTGTTGTCCCTCCACATCAGTATCTTTTTTTGGTGCCATTAGATGAGTAGATGGAAGGTGTAATTAACTGACCATATGATGACTTTGGACTTGTAGAGTCCATTTTATATATTTATAAATGTGTTAATTAACACAGCTGGAAATGCTGTCTGTAACCAGTTGGCCTTTCATTTTTTTAATTGAAATTTGTTTCTGCTGCTATATTTGTGATTCTATTAGCATCATTTGCTGCATTTTTATAGATCAGCATCCTAATCAGTGGCCATTATTCTTGGAGTATTCCATGTTTGTATAGAGGTAGCACTTGTGATTGCTAATTTCAGTAGCAGCTGCTCTAGTATCTTTTTCTGTAGCCAGATTTTCTGCTATAATTTAGGCCCTTCACTTTCATATTTTGTTAGAACTGTATCACCTTTAATATGCTGCACCACATTTCTGGTACCTCATGATCATAATGTAAAGCATGTGATTTAATATTAGTTATGAATGCTTGCTTAATTTCAAAATTATAATACTGTAAAGTATTCTGTAATTTCTAGTTTCCATGTGATGTTTCATAACAAAAGTGTTAGATTAACAAACACATTTTGTCCATTGCTCTCTTCTGTAGGGCCCAAGCATGAAGACGGAAAGAAATTATTAAACAATGCCGTTTTATTGCTTCTAGTCTAGGTCATATGAAGCCACTTTCACAAGTATGTTACACTGTTATTGTAACTGTTGTAATAGTGGAGGTACTGGCAGTTTTACTGTAGAGGCATTTGCATGTCCATGCCTGCTTAAAAATAAATCAAAGAGAGTGAATTGGTACAAAGAGCTCAGTAATCAGGGTTCTTCTTCATTATGTGTATTTAGGCACAGAGCATTTCATAACAGGTATTTGTAAGTATAATAGGCACATGAATCAACGTCTGTGTTTAGTGATAAATGTTTAATTTCTTTCATTTAACAAAATGTGCCCATAATTATTATTACCATGCTTTTGAATATATTTTGCTGTATTGTACTTTGCCAGGGATCACTATAATGGAAGGTAAATAAATGAAATGAAATAATTCTAAAAGAATTCATTTTTAATTGGCATTACTTAGTGATACTCTTGCATGTTGGAAGGTACTGTTAATATGATAGTGGGAAACAGATGCCACTCACAAAAATGAAGAATTACTGCTCTACTTGATATATCTGGCAGTTATTGTAATTGTGACCTTGATGTTTATATAGCATAAGGGGGTTACATTTTGCCATGCAGTTAAGAGGATCTGAGTTTTGGAATGGGATAAGGTATGCAAATGTGTTGTCTTGTGAATTCTCACATGAGGATACATTTATCCCTGGAAACTCTTATATCATGTTCAGCTTAGCTTCATCTTTACTTGTGACTGATAGAATAATAAATTACAACTGACCAGAAATTGGAATTGTGCAAGATGAAAGATTTCTCTCATAAATAACATAATATAGAAGTAGATTGCAATTATAATTTCCCATGCCTTGGTTTGAATGTTTTGTAAATTTCAAGGTAAAGGCAGAGTTATCCCTCTCTGTAATTAAGGATCATGCCATGAAAACATTGGGGGAATGGAAGTATAGTGCCATACACCCTTACCTTTGGCCCAAGATGGTGGTGAGTTGTCAGCTTCATACCCTAGTCACTTTACCCCAAGGGGGAAGAGCCAATGGTACCTATTTGATATTTGGTTGGGAGGGCTCATAGAGCCAGTCAGTATGCAGTGGCTAAGAGAAAATCTGCCTCATTTGGAAATATAATCCTGGTTCCCTGTTCATCCGGCTCATGGTCTGGTCTAGTCTAGTCTAGTCTAGTCTAGTCTCACCCATTCCCATATACACTTAATGCAGCTTAAAAGTAGACTTTGGAATTAAAGATTAATCAACTGTTGCATGTAACATGTGTCAAAAATATCAAAAGCAGTGAGAAGACAGTGTTAGCAGTGGCATTTGCAACAGTCTTTAAGCTATTAGTTGCTGTATTTAATTTGAAGACATTCTATTTGTGATCTGTATAGACAAATAACAAAAGAGATTCCACATATCTTAGGTTAAAAATTTATACAATTGTGACATGACACCTGAAAACCAGGATAGTTCATTGCTAGGAAGTAGCTTGGTAAACATTCCTGTGGAAGTGAACGCGTGCAACAGTAGAAGAGTGGTGTTTTCTATGGTTCAGACTGCGTGCATTGCTACGGAGTGGTGTGGTAAACACATTTCCGCAGCAGTAGAGGAAGCAGTGTTTTCTGTGGTTCAGACTGCCTGCATTGCTATGCAGTGGTGCAGTAAACACATTTCTGCAACAGTGATTCAACACGCAGCAGTAGAGGAAGCAGTGTTTTCTGTGGGTGCCACCCATAGGATATATAAGGAGGATCTTAAGTAGCTAGAATTAGAATTGAGTCTAGTTTCAGAGTTTGTAGATGCAGCAGACAATTGAATTGAGTTCCGGAGTTGGCAGTTGGGAGAATAATGGCAAGAAAGGAATTAGGTTGTGCAAAGAAGATTTCATAGTGTGCTGCAGTTATAGTGAGACTGTTATATGTGTCTATTGCCAGGAAACGACTAGTGAAGACTGAGAAGACTAAGCATGTCCTAGTGATTTGTAAAGTGTGTAGATTAGTGATAGTGCTGTAATAAATTGTACGAGGAGTTCTGAGTCATGTGTATAAGGTGTCAATAAATCCAATAATCCAATTCAAAACCAGTCTATAAGTCATGCACACACCGTACACTTGATAATATTTACTTTTTCCATAGCACTATGTAGCAATCTCGAGTAGCAGATTTTCTTCTGTATTTTGTTGTGAGAGTACCCACAAGAAGTGCTATTAATGTTTCATAATCTTGGAGTGAATAAATTAATGTTTTTGTAGAATAGTATGTAAATCATGTTTCTGTTCCTCCACATGATCAGTAAATAAGGTGTGGAATGCATCTCCTGTATTGTAATGGTTCTTATTGTACTGTAAAATTTTTGTGAAGGGCAAAAATTTCGCTATGGTACCTTTAATAAAAGAGTATGTTTTAATATATTCTTAACACATTGTAAATTGGCCTGTTTCAAATTCATGTGCCCATGTTCCCAAATACTTAACCTCTGTACTCAGGAAAACATGCTTTTTATTTAATTGTGTATGAAGGCGTCACTTTTGTTTTGAGGTATCACAGGATTGTAAGATTTGAGTTTTGGACATTGGTGGTCATGAAGAGTTCTGTCATGAATACAGCAATGTATAGTCTTATGGAAGTCAACTGACANCTCTGAAATGTTAGTTGATTTTTGATAGACTAGATGGTGTTATATCCAAGAAGACAGAACTCTTCATGATTTACGATTCTGTTTTCCTGAGTCATATGTTAACAGTTAAGTGTAATATATTGCTGTGAATGTTTGTATTCTGATGAACATTGTGCCAGTTAAGTACTGAATGGCAAGTAATAGCAAGCTTTCAAAAATTATGTTTTGTTTATAAAAGTAATATTAAAGTACATAGTTGGAAATAATGTTAACAAGATACTGCTGATCACATATGTGTTCAGGTTAACTGTTAAATAGTTTCTTGTATAAACATGTACTCTGAGTCAATTTATTTACATTGTTTGACTACCACTGTTAAGAAAATATTTTAACATAACCCATAAGTGTCAAGATTTTGGAACCCAGAGGCTACAACCTCTGTGGATATCTGTTACAGATCATATCATAAATCAGGAATCCCTGCAGTAATTTTAACTTCCTGCAGACTTCAGAATTGTCTTTATAACTTGAATCCATATCATAATTTCTTGGATTATGTAATTTTCATACTGTGTGGGTTTATGAGATTCAATTTTATTTTAATTTTTTAAGTAATGATTCACTTGCTTTGCTTTGAGATTGTATCTCATGGTAAGACTACCTGGGAAATGTCAGTGACTCAGGCTTGTATAGTAGTGCCCAGTGAGTACTCAGTGGGTTAACCCATTATTTCGCAAACTCTTGAGTCACAACCTGCACAAAGAGGAACCATAGAGTTCTCAAGAATTATTTAAAGTACAATTGTATTCATGATTTGCTCTTTTTCAGCCAGCATAACTGCAACAAGCAAAATATTTCCTTTTTTGTGTGTGCACGCGTGCATGTGTGCAGGACCATTTTGCAGCTTACTGTGGGAGTAGAAAAGTTGTAAAGCTGTTTCAGGAATCTGTTACCATGCAGCATTATGCAGAACTGCACTTTTTGCTGATCAACAGAGGTGGTGGGTTTTGTATGTGTAATTTGTGTATAATTTTTGGGGGTCATGGTATCAGAAAATGTGAGGACCCCAAGAATATCAAGATATTCTTGTTTCAGATGGTACTGTCCATTTAACTCTTTCTATGTTTGATTTGGAATATAAATGTCTTTTTCTCTTTTACAAATAGCTTTAACTCTTAACAGACTATGGGAGAGTTTATTTTCAGTGATATAAAAGAAAAACATGGTAAGGACTACTCCAATTTGGAGTTCATGTATTTTTCAGTTGCATTCTTTGCTTCAATTAAGACTTTTCTCGTGGATGTTGTCATTCATACTAGATTGTTTTGTATATGAAAGCCATTGTCATTTGTAAACAGTTTTTATATATGATTTCTATATACTGTTGTTGCCTAGGGTGTGAGGGTATTTTTATCACCACAGTAGGTATTCTTACATATCCTATCCACCCAAAGATGGAAATAGAACTCATTTCTCAATGTTTCAGTTTTTTATAAAAGGCTAGAATGAGAACAGTCTGAGAGGATAGCCTTCAATAATGTGTCATGTTGTCATCAAATAATTATAAACTGTCTGTTATTTGCTATTTTACATTCTTTGTTGACATTATTATTTTTTACTGATATCAGATCTTGTAGCATGACATTTATTTCTCCTGTGTGCTATGGAATTTGTAATTTCACTGATTTAAATCAAGTATAGATTATCCCTCTCAAATAAGTTAAACTTCTGTTCTTGCGACAGTCTCCCTGTTTGCTCACAATTGTTATATCCTGTCTCCATCTGAACAACATAATGTTTACATTTTTAATGGATATTATATATGTTGAACCACGTTCGCTTTCATTGTTATTACAATAAATGTTCTCAGATCATAAACATGAATTAGTATTTTAATAGGCACATGTATTTTCTTGAATAACACAAAGACACAGAGGTGAATGCCAGTACCTCTTCCAGTTGTGATGCAAGTACAGTAATGTATTTCTGATAAACTATTCACACTTTCTGGAATAAAAAATTATCTTTTCATGTAGATCTTAAATATCCACTGTATGAAAAAATGTATCAAATAAAAATTGTAGGTCATAATAAACTATAATTTTATGTCTTGTACAGTGTTTTTGTATTACGAATCATTATTGAGAAATACATCAAAGTCTGGTTTGAAGATTGTGTGAAGTAAGACTAACATGATCCAAAACTGAATTCACTTGAAATGTTCTCTTGTAGACTCACAATAGCAATTATGTTCAAAATTTAATTTGTTGTTTAGGAGATGAAATGTGCATATAGATGGACATGACTTCTCCATTATGCATTTATTTTATTGAGGTTGTGCTAGGAATGCACAGAGAGCATGTGAGGGTTAGTTGTTTTTTTTTGGGAGGGGGGTGAGTGTAAGCCCACTTCGTAGGTTGACTACTAATGGAACTGTTATACCAGTTCTGATTGATGGTGGTGGTGGTGAGTGTGAACTGGTTAGTGGAATGAGAATTGGCAAGGGAAACCAAAGTATTGTGAGGAAGCCTGCCCCAGTGCCACTTTGTCCACCATAAATCTCAAATGATTTGACCAGGGTTTGAACCTAGACTGCCTTGGTTGGAAGCCAGCAACTAACTGCCACAGCTGTGGCACAGCCAAGAGTTAGTATTACCATTTATTTGAAGAGAAACATTTGCTTGTAAGTACTGAGTGATTATTGTCATTACTGATTATTTTCACATTAGTGAACTTCCTTGGTTTTGTACTTAGTTTAAACATGGTTTTGGCATGTCAAGGAGAAACATTGGCTATCAGTAGCAGTTCTTAAGGAATGTAAAGTACTTTCTTGTGTCAACATGAATGCTCATAGACCCTTTGTAGAGGCAGATTTGTTTTATCTAAACTGAAAGTGAAGATGTCAGTGTACTTCACTGTTATATGTAAATTTATGCTGTGTGATCTCTCCAGCTGTAGAGAAAGCAATAATTGTGCCAGTGGTGAGGTGTTATTTCAGAACACCTGTTAGGAATACCTAAAACGTTTTATGACTGTCCTGGTGTTACTCAATGCTTCTCCTCTCTTTGATATTCCTCTCCCACTTTCCCCATTCCCCTCCTCCCACATGACCTTCATTTGTTATACAGTACAATACACATGCATTTAAAGTGACTGCTAAGTACAGTCAAGACCGATTATTATTAGACACTTTGATGAACATGTTCTAACATGCAGTCAGGCTTTTTTTTTATTTTGATGTTTCAAAATGACAGAAGCCTTGAATGTGTTTTGTGCAATGAGGGATATTTCTTTCTATGAAGAAGGTAGTTGATTCATTCATACTGAAGGTTGTTGCCTTAAAAATATGTGTTAAGTGTTATGTAATGCAAAGTATTGCAAGTTGTGATGTAGCTTCATGATTGTGAAGATTTTTTTTATGTTTCTTTAATTTCAGTTAAAATAGCTTGGAAGCAAATTATGTTTCATTTAACAACAACCACATTATATGTAAACACAGAAGTTTGCATTAAGCACTAGGCATTTAATAAACAAGTGATTTGTACCAGCAGTATTCACTACAGCAGTCAGCAGAACATCACATGGAACCATGAAGAGTATATTCTGCTCGTGGAAGGTTCAGTAAGGAAAAACACAACATGAGAAGCAGTTTTCTTCTTTGTAGGTTTTGCGTTACTTACTGATGATATTGTTCTTTACATTTGTATATTTATTTACTTCTTTAATAGTTAATTTCTACCCATTGAAAGGCTGATAATATTGAAGATACACAAATTGCCTCACAGTGGCTCTCATATTAGTGACATTTTTTAAATTTGTGTGTGTATAAATAAAGTGATTAATGTCAACTATTATTATTTTAGGTTATTTTATAGTATGTTAATAGATACAGTGGAAAATAAGTTGAGGAGTATTGCCTTCTTGAATGTGACACCATGTAGTCTGGTAGCAGTTCACTGTACTCTTCATAGTCACTGCTTTGATAACCTCAGATCCAACAGAAATACAGTTACCTTATTTGATTCTGAAAGATCTCTCCTGTTAGTAAATTTTATAAAATATTTTATTACTATTTATTTTTCAGTTTGTGGCTAAGAGAGTTATTACTGCTGTTACTGCTACTTGTGGTGGTGGTGGTGGTGGTGGTGGTAGTAGTAGTAGTAGTAGTAGTAGTAATTTGTGGCTAAGAATATTGCTGTTACTACTACTGCTACTACTGCTGGTGCTGCTGCTTGTGATTATTTGTAGCTCTGTGGTTAGCAGAACTTTTTACATGACTACTTTCACTTCTTTCTCTGTTTATTTCACTAATCTGTTGCTAATTTCTTGCATAGACTATACTAAACTTCATGTGAGAAGAGGTGATAATAAAAATAGAGGTGAGTGTGTTAGCAAGCTCTAGTAGTGGGGAAGCCTGAGAGGGGACATGCTAATGACTAAGTGCACCATATCAGTAAACAACTTTCGCTACTTCTATGTAGCTACAGAGTTATCACTGAACACCTCTGAAGGAAGGGTGATCAGTGACATGGATGAAGATGCGAGTTGTTGGAGGAGATTAAACAGATTGTTATAGCGAAATAGTGGCTTCATGAGTGAATGTGTGTGAGTGATTTAAGTTATTTCCTCAGATTCATCAAACAGCTCAGGGTAAGTGTGTTTCATCTTTATTTTGTATGTTTAACATTTTAAACTTTGTTCCTTTTTTTTAAATTTTCCATAAAACTTTACATTTTCTGTTTGTTTTCTCAATTTCCATGAAAAGTTTTATGAATTTCTTCCTCCCAGATTCCATGATATCCCAGGGACTTTAATTTACAGTGAACCCCATTTTTAAGGTCCCTTTTGGCGTTAATGGATTTGAACATTAAACTGAGGAACACATTAAATGGAACCAATTCAGCACTGATATTATGGACTTGGGATAATTGAAAATTGATGTTAAATAAAAAAAATTCCAAATTGAGGAACATTGCGTGAGGGTTCCTTTATAAAGACTTCCTGAGACAATGTTGAGGAAAGGCTTGTGAAGAAAGAAGCTAGGGTCTTGTATTTCAAGGTTCCTGAATATGAAGTGTATGTAGAAGAGGTGTGTTTCTTGCATATGTAAGCATTGTGTTCATCTATAAAAATAGAAAATATATTGTACTTACTTCTGTCATGAATGGGTGAGATCTGTGGCAGCAGTTTCAAGATACTGCATGAGCATTTACTTGGAAAGATTGAATCGACCACAGTATCCCATTATATTAACAGCCCTTAATTTTGTGGGTGGGGTGTGGGTCTTAAAAGTTTATTCTGTCTGTGGCAGTTAAATATGTGACTTAATTTAAACTTGACTTTTCAGTAAAGTAGGTGACTAGGCCTGAGGATGACCTTGTGTGGTACTGTTATCAACGAGGATTTGTACTGTGTATATGGTTAAGTAGGCCAGTGATAACTGCTACTAATGCTGTATGCATGTCATTACTGTTCATATTGTAGGTACTGTAAATATTAATTTTCATTTTTATCATTCACCTTTTTACTTAGTATTTTCATATTTATTTAAATCATGGAAGAAAAGTTTCATAATTTATGAAGATCATTTTCTATAGACTGCAGTTCAGGTGCCAGATTGGAGGGAATGTGGCTACATCATCTTAATAAAATATTTAATTGAAAGTAAATGCTTCCATGGACTGGATTTCTCACAGCTTCTTATTCTTGATATAGAATACATCATAATTTTTATGGAACAAGAAGTATCAACATTTCACTTACTTGTCTTTTCAGAAGGAAGGAAAGAATATAAAGATTGCTCATATTATTTGTATTCTTCCACCAGTAAAAATGTTGATGTGCAGGTAATGTGTTATTGTAAGTGGAATGTGTATTAATGAAATATGACACATTCACATGAGCAAGACAAGTTTCTAATAACATTACTTTCATTGTGAGAAATAAATAAATAATATAAGTAGAGTGAATATGCAGGAGATTTATTCAGAACTACGAGTATGTAGAAATTGAGGTTCTCACTGCAATTGTTACAGTTCAGTCATGTGGTATACTCATATAAAGATGTGTAGATCTGTTGGAAATCAACATTTCGGAGGAACATAATGCCTTGATCTTCATGGTTGAAGAAAACTCTGCTTGCTGCCTCCTTCATGCCTCTTTCTTGCTTGGTTTACTATTCAACCCTAAAATTGGAGACTGACACAGGCAAATGTTGGGGTAGTATCTCAAATTAATCTGTGACTGCTGCTTTGCACATCCTTTCCAATTCATCATTCACTGATCAAAGCGCCTGTAGGCACTATGTAATCTGAGTTATTACTAACTTACTTACTCTCTTACTCATGGAGCTGAGCCCTTCTGGATGAGCCGCCAATTCTGCAGCTGCTCAAGAATTTCCCAACGTTTAATGGAACCCAAAGGTTCATCATGTTCACAAGAGCCCTCCACTGGTCCCTATCCTGAGCCAGATCAATCCAATCAATACCATCCCATCCTATCTCTCATAAGATCCATTCTAATATCCACGCACCTACACCTTGGTCTTCCCAGTGGTCTCTTTCCTTCTGGCTTTCCCACCAATATGAGCTATTGCTAGGATTGTTAAATAATCCATTAATATATAAATAATGGTTTTGTGCAAGGTGCATTAAGTAGTTAGTTAGTTATTGGAGAGGGTGGGTTTCCCCATGCACTTAGACCTATATTGGTCCATTGTGCTTCCCTCTATGATTTCTACCAGTCTCTATATCCTACCAGTACTGGTGCTTACCATCAGTCCCCCCCAGCCAGCGAGACCGGCTCTACTAGCTGAGAGGTATCTATAATGCTTCCCCCATCTACCAGAGGTATTAGAGACTGCTATTGGGCGGGAAACGTCCGTAATTTGGCTCAGTGATCTCCTTTAGAGATATGAGGTTCTTTTACATGCCGTAAAGCTACGACACGGGACCCACGGCTTAAAGTCCCTCCCGGAGGACTTGTCCCCTGAATTTTTTCGCCCTTAAAAATTTGACGACCTCCGCCAGGTATTTGAACCCGAGTACTACGAGTCATGAGGTGGGAACGTTACCTCTAGACTACGGAGGCTGCTTGCATTAAGTAAGTAAAGAGAGAAATGCTAATGGAACAAATTTCTGAACAATTGTCAGAAGTTGAAACCGGGTTACTGTATCTTGCAATGCTACTCTACTCGGTTTTGAAATAAACAGTAAGCTAAAAATGGTCACTTCTCTTGGAGAAGGCACCATAAAAGAACAGTATGCAGATGTCATTTTATGTAGTATACGTCAGAATGTGAGAATGGGTACATTGTGTAAACAAGATATGCATACAGAATTATGTTCAAATCCAGGTATGAGGGTAGCTGCAAATATATTTTCATGTGTTAGTGACTAGACATGGGGTTTGGTCTGATAATTGGATTTATTAAATTAGTATAACTTGTAAATGCAAATAATTATAACACTTTCACTAGCCATTGTTTGGTAGTGGTGTCTAACATTGTTGCTCAAGACTCCCTCTGCTGACTCCTGGCCCATGACTGCAACTTTTATTGGTCCTCTGCTGGCTCCAACCTCTGACGCATGACTCCTGGCCCATGACTGCAACTTTTATTGGTCCTCTGCTGGCTCCAACCTCTGACTTATGACTCCTGGCCCATGACTGCAAATTCTGTGTTTCCTTGTTATATAACCATGGCCGGGACCGCATAGAAAACCATGCTCCCATAGTTACTCTGTTGCATTTTTATTCATTGCTGCAGATGTATGTTTACTACACTTTCATAGCGATGGCTGACTCTTATGTTAAATTGTTTCGGCTTTCCACTGACAAGGGGTGGTCCTCGAGCTTGGGAATTGGATGTGGGGCTAATAGTTCCTCTCCATAAAACATCAGCTTGTTACTGCATGTTACACAAGGCCTTGGCAAGCTCTTGTGAACATGGTAATTAGCCTTCGGGCTCAAGGTGTGGGATGTTTAAAGAGTATCTGAGCTTCTGTTAACTTCTCAAGAAGGACTCCACTGCATGGAGTTCAATAGAGAGTTAAATATGAAAGTAAGAAACTAATTGGAAGACTTAAGAATAGGTGTGAGGATAATATTAAAATGGGTCTTAAAGAAATAGATTGTGAATGTGCACTGAATTGTGGGTTCAGATAAGTTCCACTGCTAGAGTTTTGTGAACTTTGTTATGTAGCCTATGGTTCCATAATGTGGAATTTGTTAACCTGTTGAATAGCGTTGGTTACCAAAAAGAAGATACTGATACATGGTTGTGTGATTGTTCAAGCTGCTGGAAAGTTATAATTGAAGAATAACATAAATGTAAATTAATATTTAGGGAGGTAATGAATCCTGTTGGTAGACTTTAAAAATACACATATCATTTTAGAAGACAGGAGACCGTTTAGGTATTTGAAATTAGCAGTCTTCAAAAGAATGAATCATTAGCATGGTTTGGTTGAAGCTTAGGATGCTGCATTTTGTGTCAGCCTGTTGCCATATGGCCATTGATAAGTTCGGTTCCTTGTGCCACAACCAGTCGATTGTAATATTTTGTTTCCTCCTCCTCCTTGATATTCATTTTATATGAGTCAGATAAAAACTATCAAGTCCATTCTTTCATGCCACAGTCTTTCCTTTTTGATTTCTTGCCA